ATTACATTGTGTAAATTATAATTTTCCAATAAATGTTTGACAATGTAATCTATTTTGTTTTATTCTTTATAACTGAAAATACGAACAAAGTTGTTGTATTATTATAAAATTACATAATTGAATCAAAGATAAATTGCTAATAACATTTATTGACGCTGTTAGTTTAAGTGAGTTCTAACTTATAATAATGATGACATCATTACAGCCGTGCAAGTTATATATATTAAATAATTTCAGATTTAAAATCACTAACTAATATCAGTATTCTTTATTATTTACCGTATCTATTTACGGGAATGCGACTTGCTAGGAAATTACATTACATATAATATAAATTAATAATTTAAATTTAAATTAATTTAATTTAAATGTAATTTAAATTAGTATTTTGTAATTAATGTATATTTTAAAAATAATAATAATAGTTTGTATAATTAACTGTAAACTATGGGTATATACCTGAAAATAAAGATTTATTATTATTATATTATTATTAAATAGAAAAAAATATATTAAAAAAATTATTTTGTTTATTTTAATTCGGTACATTAACGTCTTAAAAACTTTTTAGTCTTAATGGTTACATTATTGCGAATATCATATCTTGCTTACGTAGGCAATAGTAGGCTATATTCGCGAATGGGTCACAGAGCGCCTGTAAATCACTTAAGACGGACGGGAGCGAGGCGCGAGGGCCCGCAGTTAAAGTTGCTGTTTTTGCTCGCGAGGGAACCGAAGGTACGCGCTGATAAGAAATATCTGAAACAGTATACTGCTTATTTTATTGTTCGTTCTCTGAAGCTGTTACACTTACTCTATTAAAGGAATGAAGTACTTTTTGCTTTTAACAATTTTTAATTTACTTTTACCAGTTTCGTCTACGTGCAATTTAATAAAATTTATTTTAAGAAAGAATCGCATTTTAATTAAAACATTCTTTATGGCAGTTTGACTGATACATAGAAACGGTTTAAAATCTTTAAAGATGAATAGTCTATGCTCATCATCGTGTTAGTCACCTGTTCTGTTTGCTACACCAGTGCAAGATTTCCATATTATTCAAATTGACTTTATGTTGCTACTCATTGCTTCAAATTTTGACAGAGAAGACTACCTACAAAACTTGATTTTATTTTGATTATTCTGATTTTGATCATTGTCAATGTTAAATTTTCTCTTAATTTTGATCTTCTAATGTATATCACAAATACTACATCTTCTCTACACACACACACACACACATACACACATCCTACACGTGAATTTACTAGGTACAGAGGAATAACACCTGAGTCCTCAGAAATGGCAACGCATGGGGTGTATCATGGGCAAAACAGTATACTCTGTTATGTCCATGGTACTGCTCATGTCTATAGGCGACGGTTACCACTTTCCATCAGGTGGGCCGTCAGCTTGTTTGCCATTCTAAGTTGTATAAAAAAAAAACTTAAGTTTTTCATTTACGTGTAATATTTTAGTTAGTTATTTTTAAAATGTTTTTATCATTATAAAACATTGAAGTTTAGAATGGTATGTTTTACTTCTTTTATTAGATTGCATACTGTGTTGCCCATAAATAATTGTAAACACTAGTTTTTTTTATATTAATTATATACATAAATACATAAATATAACAATTGTTTGTGAGCTCTAATAAGTAAATAAACATGAAAGAAAATAAATACAAAGTCGTTTATATGTGTTAATACATGTTTGACAATAACAGTTTATTATAATTATATATTTTAAAATTCGAAACGATTCTTGAGATAAACCAACAATTTCCAAGTTCATACGGTGCACAATTACATAAAGTTCAATTGTAAAGTTCTGCGTACAGGGCACGTGCACAACAAAGTAGGAGTAAATATAACCGTTGCTTCTGTCGTCTCTGCCGCCCTCCTAATACCGACTCGTGTAGCTCCACCGCCCGAGCGACGCAACAAATTAGAAAGTTTGCGTTTGATACAGTAGAATGTATGTGTAGGAACGTAAAGGAACTTAGAAGCTAGACAGTAAGTTGCTAACATCAATAGTTCGTACTGTTGTTGTTGCTTGCAGCTAGACAGACATTATCAATTAATTATATTGACAGTAGTCTTGTGATCATTTTGTACAGTACATTAAATAAAGGTTGTTCAGTGTTACCTACTACATACATACATATCTGTCACGCCTGTCTCCCATAAGGGCGGAAACAATGGAACGCCAAATGCTTCAAAGAAACCTTTTTCGCTACCTACTAGTTATTTTAAATAAGTATTGAAAGAATTATATTTATTTATTGTTACAATTACATAACATTTTGCATTTAACAATTTCTTTTTAAATGATACCACTTTATCATTAAACATCATCATCATATCAGTTTTTAACTGTCCACTGCTGAACACAATTTTCCCTTTTGAGGGATTTTCTAGTAGTTGCTACGCTTGGTAGGAGGATTGGCAATCGCAGTTAGGTTTTGGAGATGTTTTAAGAGGGACGCTGCTGCCCATGCCTCACCCTCCCTTAGTCGCCTCTTACGACACCCACGGGAAAGGAAGGGGTGGCTTATTTTATGTTAGGACCACATGGGATTATCATTAACACTATTAAATATATATATATATATATATATATATATATATATATATATATATATATATATATATATATATATATATATATATATATATATATATATATATATATATATATATATATATATATATTACGTAAATATAGACAATATTGTAAACAAACACATCCTGTTTTTTTTGCAATATGTATTAAAATTAAAATTTGAAATCACAAAATAAGTATTAAAATTTGAACTGATGTGCTATTTCATTTACAAAAGGTTTAGAAGATGTAATTTCTTAATTTTTTATTATGATTAAGAAATAACAGTTTTTTTTTCTTTTTTAGAGTGATAGATAATTAATAATAGGTTGTAATTATAAAGTCAAGTATTTCAATTGGATATAATCAGAAAAGAACACAGCTACACATCATGCCATTATGTTTACCACCTTAACGTAATGAGTAATGAGTACTCAAATAAGTTCAGTTAAGCATTGCCTACTGAGTGGATATTTATTGCTTTAACTTACCCGGTAATTAGATTACGTGGGGACATTTGGGGGCAATTTGTCAGAATGCCCTAATAAGTTCTTTCGTGCCTTCGCATCACTGTTGGTTGTAGTTTTAACATTGCTGCTAACTACTTTCGTTAAAGTTGCTGAAACTTTTCAACAGTAATTAAAATATTTAAGTTGAATTTAAAGATGGTATGACTAAGGATATTTATGTTTCTATACTAATTATATAAGGTTAGATTTGATTATTTTTTTGTTTCTTTTTTATTAATAAACTTAAAAACTACTTAACCATTTTAACTATAATTAACAATTCTTTTAACTATAGAAAGCTACATATCAGCAAGTAATATATGCTATATATTATTTTCGAAAAGTTTATCTATCTGTGCGAAGTCAAGTCGGAGCGCCAGCGGTATATAAACTTCTTAGTTATAGTTAAGATAAAATTATTTGCGTGTGGTTCAGAAGTTATTACATTGATATAGGGTCAGCAACGCATATGCGACACTCCTAGTGTTAGATGGAAAATGCTTAGTGCTTGTTTGTCACTTTCGTGTTTGCTATAAAAAAATGTGCATTGATGAGTAAGACAGATTAAACAAAAGTTTGGTCTCATAAATAATCAAAATATCAATCAGATACGTGATTTCATTAAAAGTAGTAAGAAAATAGAGAAGAAGTTATTAGTGTAAAGTTTATGCAAAAAGATGCAGCTAGGGTAGATAATTACTGTTATCTATTTATATTATTTATTTATTCTCAAAATACATATTAAGCGACAGATCAGTAACATAATAACTAGCTTTTAACCGCGACTTTGTCCGCGTGACCGCGATATGTTTACTGATCACAATATAAAATATCCTTCTCCGTTCCAAATAGTATGTGGATATAAAGTGTTAAATGTTCTAAGGTTGTAGTAAACGTTTACGTGTAGCCAATTTTGTCCACAAGACGCCGGCTTGCAAGTTCCGTGACGTAAGAACTCACTTCCGTCGCTGTCACCGTGCAACGTTTTGCATGAATAATATACGTAAATGTACATGTTCGCTGTAGATAAAGTACAAAACTAAAAAAAAATAGTCTGGTTTACTTTTAAGCTACCAAACACTGCATTTTTAAAGGCAGGCAGACTAGAATAATGTTCCATACAAAATATTTCATACTAGCTTTTACCAGCGACTCTGACCGCGTAACCGGTAATATATGTTTACTGACCCGGATAAAAAGTAGCCTATATCCTTCTCATAATATTTCCTTTCCCATATAATAGTTACTTCCCAGTTAGTATCTCACTAGTAACTTCTGATAGTGTCGATATCCATTAATAAATTAATATTTATTTCATTATTTCACTGAACAAAAAAGCTGTAGGTACCATAAAATAAATAACATAAATAAACTAGTTACTGTTCTATAAACATATTACTAATTCAAGTAAATTTACTATGATAAAATAGGGAAAGAGATATGTGAGTTTAATGTCATCTTCCGTTAAAAAAACCCTGAATTTTTAGAAAGTGTTCAAGTATCTATCTGAAAAAACAGGTCTAAATTTGAACTTTAATATTAGTTCTAATTTAGACCTGTTTTTTAGAAAAGGCTTTTACAAGCATTAAATTTTAATGTCCATGTAATATACCCATATTCGCATTCGTGTCGTAGTGTAAGAATGAATGGTGGTTCCATTAGAGGAAATAACGAATATCATCCAGTCCCATGTGGTTGTTGCATCAAGTTTGTAATTAGATAACAATCGTGCCCGGCGCGTTCGTGTTCGATTCTATTAATGATCAGAATGTTATGTACAATACCTTATCTACCGTTATATCGATCATACCATTCAGACGATGTTCCGATAACATATATGTATATTATATTTATAGGAATATAACATTTTATATTATAGTGCTTTGACAATGTAATTAAATAATGACAAGCCCAAGACGAACTAAAAAGAGTGGTGCTCAATGTGTGATACAATCTCTAGACTGGGACTCTCCTTCTGCAGCCACGGGGACTGTCAAACGGAGGCGGTCCTCGTGTCCAGAAAACTCTTCGAAACATACAATCCAAACGTCTGAGGCCATCTTTGAAGTCCAAACACCATCGGACTCGGGCAGTGGAACTTCAAGGAGTATCGATGGCACTGATCAATCTGATCCTCTTATAGAAATAGAACAAAGAATATCAAGTATAATAAACGAAAACAGATCTTCTAAAAGTAATTCAGAGTCCAGTGATGTAGATATTATTATAGACAATATTTTGGATAATAATATAGAGGGAGATTTGTTCGAAATCTGCCAAAATGAAGAATTTTTATACGATCATAGCAAAACTTTCATCAAATCACAAGAACCACCTACAATTAACAAAAAAGTTGACACATCCGGTACTAATGAAACAGTTCACGATAAAAGAACAAAGGAAAGAAAACTTAAAACTCCGGCACCCATTAAAAAATTAAATAAGTCTTTAGATAGTATAAAAATTAGTCCAAAAATTACTAAAGGTTCTTTGAAAAATGAAGATAAGGCTAGTGTGTTGCCTATTTATAAAAGTACCATACAAGGGCCTTCCATAGATTTAAGTACAAGCAGTCAAAAGAAAAAAGCTACCTCAAAATTAAGGCTACCATTTTCTCCTGTAAAAGCTATGGATAAACCAAAAATTAATTTCTTTCAAACTAAAAATAGCATGGAAGAAAATAAACCGTCACCACTTTTATCATCACCAGTACGAAGAACGATATCAAACGAGTATGTTCGGTTAAAATTTGCTAATGATACAGTAGTCAGACGGACAATAGATGGAAAATCGGTACCAAAGATCACACCTAAAATCCAATCAATAATACCAGAAAGCCCTGTTGATACTGAAGATCCATTCTTAAACTTAAGTCCTAATAAAAAATATACTGTAACAGTGAATAACAAAGTCAGATGCGATAAGGATAATTATGTGATATTTGATCCAAGTACAGGATTTAATCCCGAAACTATACCTAAACAATCGAGAATTCCTTTAAAATCACCAAGTGGAGATAAATCGCGCATTCTAAAATCTCCGGCTGGAGAAAGTTCTGCTATCACGCGAAAATCTGCTAGTATCAGTGATACTGACAGTGGCATACTATCTCCAAATTCTCCCATTGAAACAAGTGACAAGAAAGGGGGATATTATGTCAATGCTGCTGTTTTTAGTGAGACGGTGAAAAAGTGCGCTGCAGACCTGGACATCAAAATTCTTCATCCTGGACTGGCTAAGAAGGCTGCTGAACAAATAAAGGTAAGTTTTTTGTTAACCTATAAATAATTATTATGTTCATGGAGGCCAACAGCAGTATATTTTTTTATTAAGTTACTGTTTGAATAAAACATGTAATTTATATTATTTATTATTTTTTTATTTATTTTTATATTATTTTACCATATTTTATTAGTTAATAGTATTTGTATAGTATGTTAATGCAGATGCACTTTCCTAAAAGTAATTTTAGAGACGCCCATGTTTATAATATAATAGCAAGTAACTCACTAAAAATAGAACCAAAATATAATCTTTGTGAATGGGTTTAGACAGTGTAATATGATGAAATAACAATATTGCATTGCTATTTCCTGCTCAAAGTTAGAAAATAGTGAAATATTCTCTTACTAGTTACGGAGATCGTAGACATAATTTAACTTCCGCTCGAAAAACTCATTTTTCATGGTAACAGTTTTGAACAACACGCCCGGCCCGGTCTGTCGCATGTTGAACTTTATGTCATTGTTTTCTCTTTGAAATTAGACTTTATGTGATTTTATTGATTAGTATAAACTTTACTACATTTATTTATCAGATAGTATCTAAGTTAGAATGTGCTTATGTGCAAATCGATTTTTGTTTTTAATTCATATTAAACGTAATAAAAATTAATACTTAACAATAAATATTTGTATCTATTTCATCTGGAACAGTTGTAAGCATTGTAGGTAGGTAAAGTCTTTCAATAAAAAGATAAGTAGATATTTTTTCCGAAATTACATAATAATGTATAATTTTATTGGATGGAGTTTAATGTTATTGACGTTAAAATTTAATATTATAAAGTGAAAGTTTTTATCGCGATTAATGAACTTACTTGCCACGCGAACGAAGTTGCGGTTAAAAGCTAGTTAAAGACAATTTAAATATTTGTTGTTTTTTATCGGAGCACGCTTTCCATAGTACTTAATTTAAAATTCAGTATAAAATTGTAATAATAAATGCAGCAAATTCATTACGAGTTACATACTACTACCGCCATCTATGATATAATAGATGTTCTTTTCTATATTGTTGCACTTAGAACATTTTGTGAAATTATAAAATCATACCTATATTTCTGTTAATTATTATACGTTATATTTATTTAAAAAAATATATATATATATTATAATAAACAACATTTTAATAATTGTACTTGCAATATGAATGAAATATTCATGCGTTTTTGTAGTTATGCTACTGGCCGCCAGATGGCTTCCGTTTAGTCTTAGGGTAAAGTGATCGTGGTTGTAGTATAATTCTACTAGGTGGAGCTACATCACTTTGTTATTTTGTTTAGTATTTCCGTGATATATTTTCCCCACGCTACCGTTATTATTCGGAAGCAATCGTGCAGTTAATTTCCAAATGGGGCCCATTTAGCGAGAATAATGAACGAGGCATCGAGCCACCAAAGCTCACTTTGTAATGTTTGTACGTACCTAGTCGAGTGGGTAGTAAGGTATTTATTTTGTTGTTATATGAAGAGGTAGTGTACGCACTGATTGTTCTTAGAAAATAATTTGTCATTTATAATCGAAGCCTGTTGATGAGTCTTAATTTTTCGACTTTTGTTGCTTGTGAAAGACAAGACTGTAGGCTATAATTACAATCATAGTTCCTGATCTAATCATAACAATGTGGATACTTAATTTTCTTTTTTTGGTGGGTGAAAATGGTATAGTAACCCCGCCTGCTCTAACGGGATACGCTGGCGGAGCACCAGTGAAGGGTGATAGATGAGAATGAAAACAGGCCAGTTAGCCTATCATGATGAATTTATCAGGAATTAACCATGATAGTTTCCAGGGGAAACCGCGAGGAGGTCGACCTGGTTGGGTATATTGCTAGCAGTGGGATTCTCAGTCTCCATTACTAACAATTCCTTTTCCCCTTGAAGCAGTTACTAAGGTTTGTTTTCTTCATAGCTTCATATTTGTTAGTTCTTCAGGCTCAAAATTTCCCAGCCGTACCATTTTACACTGGGGAGGTAATAGTGAGGGATGATAGATGAGGATGAAGACAGGTCAATCAACCTATCGTGGTTAATTTACCATGAATTAACCATTATGGTTTCGACATGGAAGTCGACCTGATAAGGTATATTGCGTGTATGATGTATATATGGAGTCATCAATTCCATTAATAACAAAACCTATCCCTGCAACCGTACTGGGAGATACACTATTTCAATACGATTTGTGTTTTAAATATTGTCATCATCATTATCATATCAGCCATTATTTGTCCACTGTTGACATAGGCCTCCTCCTCAAGGGGAGGGGGGATTAGTAGTTGCCACGCTTGACAGGCTTATTGGAAACTACTGCTACCCATCTCTTGGGGGGAAGGGATTGTTAGTTATGTGGACTACCGGCCGCATTGCAAGCAATATATCCCAATAGGTCAACTTCCACGTGGTTACCCTTGGAATCATCGTGGTTAATTTTTGATAAATTCATCACGATGGGCAAACTGACCTGCTTCATCCTCACCTATCACCTCTCACTGGTGCCCCGCTAGCATATATCGATAACACAGACGGGGTTACCATTCCATTATCACCCATAAAAAACCCCATCCCTTAACCATTAAGTTTCGTTAGTTGTTTTTTACGACATCCACGGGAAAAGAAGGGATGAACCACGCAGCGACATGGACAAGGAGTAGTCCAAAAATCTTTTTTACATATAAATTGTTTAGTTGCCACTATTCCCATTTTTACTATTTAAGTAGCTGCTTTTATTTAAGTAGCGTACAATTATTTTTGCCTTTTAGTTAGATGGCAAGGACTTTAGTGAAGACGATGAAACAGTCTGCCAGCTATAGGTTGTTCGGTTTTTCTCTGCTTACATTGAATATTTTAACAAAACATTGATGTTTATCATGTTATGGGCACTGCTGTTGTCTTTTACTACTTTATCTATCTCATTTTAGTAATCTTTTAGATTTTAATCGTAAAATACTTCAAATAGTTATAATAAAATTGAAAATCGATTGAAGTAAAGTTTACTTACCCATGTTCTGCGAATGATCGTAACTTGGAATTTATTGTATTTTTTTAAATTAAATTGGAAGTTTTATTTGACAGATGACTTCTGATTGACATCTTTATTAATGTTTGAGTCCGTGTTGTGACTTTATTCTAATAAAAATGTTTATTCCCAACACTGTTTACACTTGTAAATTGTCACCAATAAATAAATTTATTCCTAGCGATTGGATCGTATTCTTAAATATATTTACAATTTATTATTCATTATAATTTTGTTCAAATAAGTCTCTATTATCATAGCAGTAGGGTTGATGCTATAATCAAGGAGTATTGTTTGTGCCAATAAATTTAAGTATTCATCTTGTGTAACGTCAATAATCAGGCAGGTGATTCTCACAGGGTGCATGCGTCGAATGCGATTTGCTTAGCGATTGCCCATTAAATTTCAAATAAGAACACGAACGCATAGCCGCCTACTGATTTGACCGTTAACATTGTGCCTACATAGCAATGTGGCACAATTTATTGTTCGGGTGTGATATTATTTCATATTAAATGTATGCAAAAATTTTCCATCAAATACTTCATCGTTTGCAATTGGAAATAGCAAATCGATGGCCCACGTGAACAAAAATAGTAACTGTTCTATATGATAGGTCTTATTAATTGAAATAAAACACGAAGTAACTACTGAGCGTCCATATGTAATCTTTTTATTTTTAAAGTGTTGCCATACATATTGGTTATGAACAATTAAGCGATATAGAATAAGGGATGCCATATATGCAACAGTAACCGTCATCTTTTGTTAAAATAATATTAATGTCAGAAAATATGATATGCATGATATGATATCCATCAAAGATTCCCATTTTTTTAATACTTATAAGGTTTATGTCTTTTGTATCATATACAATATACCTAAGTATCGTCCTCTTCAGACCTTAGATTGTACGTTTTATTAAGTCTATGCTTCAGACAGATATAACGCGTGTATTGCTGTTTCATGGCAAAAATAGAAATTACTGTAAGTAATACGAACTTGATTGATAAAGAATTGTATAATAAAAAATATCTTTGTGCCCTATTAGTTATATAGATTTTATTATACAATGATTTAAGATTTTGATTCGTAACAAAAACAGCTACTTTGTTCGTGACAAAATGAATATAAGGTTAACATAGACCCTGTCGATTACAAATATTATCAAAATTGAATCTGAAGTGACGTAGATATCGAGTAACATTAACATAAAAATACAGGCGAATCGAAATTTTCCTCTTATTAGAAGCAGTTTAAACAGATAATTCTGTTTGATTATAATCTCTTGTAATTAGGAGAGATATTACACTAATGAGCGATATAAGGACTGATGCTGACGATTCAAAGACACCATAGAGTACATGCAGAGTGTACCAAGAGTCCTCGGGAGTAGGGACCCTCCACGTAAAAGGGTAAGCGCTTTTATGTGCGCCGACCTCTAATGTTTCATCACTTAATTCGGGCTCGTGAAAATGACGTGAGCTCTGTTGAGTTAACTTGTTTTCATAAGTGGTTGTAGTCTGTTATCCGCAAACATAAATTTTTGTAGAACGTATGTAATATGAGTCTACAATAATTACAATACGAGTAACTGTCGTTTGCACGGATCATGTTTTCCTGTTCCCGAGAAAATATAAAAACCCATAAAACAGTGAACAATTTTTTATTAATAGTTTTATATCAATTAAAAAAAATAAAAGTAGCTTCTTTGAATATATTGAATATATATTGTATAGATTAAAAAAAAAAAAAAACAAACAATGCACGACAATTTAAGATTCTCTTTTCCAAATGACATTACTCGCCTGTAACACACAACATTTTATTTTCTTGTACCTACACAAACCAGTTATGTTAGTTATTGACAAAAAAACCGAATTTCCCGTTAGATAACCGGGTTATAGATATGATGGTGTACGAACAATCAATATACGGACAATTAGCGAGAAGTAACTACAG